TCAAGGAAGATGCGCATTCCTGAGAAGTCTGCACGGCAGAAGTCTCTAAACCACGTTTGAGGTTTGGGATTTCTGGCCCAATAGCAGATGAAATCAAAGGTTAGCACACAGTGGTCGCTATGTCCCAGTGGAGCGTTAATGGTTACCTGATCAACGGAGTGTCTTTCGTTGGTGATGACCAAATCCAAGAGGGATGGTTGTTGGCCTGCGCGGTATCTGGTGGGTGCAGCGACGTGTTGGGTCCAAGCGCTCTCTGGAGCGAATCTGGCTGAGAAAGGTAGTGATTCCTTCAGTCAACTTCATCCAAATAACCTGGTGCATCCACACACACTAGATAACGCGCCACAAACTTAAAGAATCACGTGAAAATTTTGTCCGGGGTGTACCCTTGACCAACAACAACTACGCTAAAATTTATCATTTATTCTGTTTACGCGGCTGCAACCTGCACCATGCGCCAGAGTCGCGACTTGAGCCAACATCGAGTCAAGATGCTTCCAAATTAGTGCAGCTGCTGAAGAGTGCACACAACAGGTAGGAATGCAGTCCTTCACAGCACATGCGCGCGCGCACGCGCCGGGAAGCCACACAATACTCACAAGTACATGGACCTTCAAGGAACACGTTTGGCACTATCTTAGAGAAAACGCGTTCCATGTCCAAACCTCCACTCAGGAACTCTCACGAGTCACCCTCGAATGATAAGTCACCTTTTGACTTATGCCTTTATTTGCATTGTCTTCTTCATCAAAGTGGGTTCAACTATCTTCTTCATCATTACTGATAAGCCCAAACCGTGTTAGGGCTCGTCATCTTCTGATAATTAAGTTAATTTCACTACAACTAGAGTACTAAGAAAAATTTAACACAGACAACTTTTCTCATACAGGTCCGGACATAACTATAATTTGCAGAAGCGTGACAGGTGACTGGCACATTCCTAACGTGTAGGTGGCCGGTATACCAACTTTTATTGATGAGAGCATATGCCGCAGGCATTACGTCTCCAACTGCTTGGCCAGTTGAAGCACAAGGGCAAACTGTCACACTCTGTACTGTATATAACAATATTTTGACATGATGCATCTTGCGAATTTCACTGTGGAGAGGTGAAAGTCCGATCTAGTGTCATCAAATGTAAATGCCTTAGTGACCTGTGCGCTAAAAAACTGGTTGACCGGTCATTTCGATCTCAAGGTTCATGATCTGTGCCAATTTTTTGTGGTTATGCCAAAAGAGATACCTCTTGAATGCAAAACTTGGAAGCTTTGCTGGTTGCACGTCAGAGGCTATAAAATTTTTATGATCTAGTGTATAAGTTCCACTGTTTGTGTGGCCTAAATAAATACGCTAATCACCAGACTGCCTAAATGAAATCAAAACTCCTATCATTCTCCCGTCTGGGCGCAATGGCAACTCTGGAAGGGGCCTATTGGAATATTTAATCCGTTCAGTTAAAAGCCTATGGACCAATCAATAATATCAAGAGATCAATACAAGTGGTGGTCACAGAAACTTCTGACAGCAGGAGAAAATCGAATTAAACGCACCCCATTCTCCCCACTTTCTGATTTGAAGAGAATTCGATAACCTCAGATTACTCGTGGGAATATTTATAGGCAAGTAACCTGGGAACTATATGACAAATTGACTATCAATAAAATGAACCGTTCTAGACCGTGTTTGTGCTCAGTCACGGTATTTTGGCTCCTTAAGCTCTGTTTCGAGTTGAGGAGGAGCCTTTTACATAAGCCTCGCCAATGTGACGACAAGACGAAGCACACTATTGTGAAGGTTACCGTAGTATAGCAAACTTGGTGCCACCACCCTGCGAGTTAGCTGATGTTTCACTTAATGCAAAATTGCAGCCTGGATAAGTGAGCGGATTGTGTTTAATAGGTGCAGAAGCCGGTGTTTCCATTGACCACCCCAAATCGAGTTTATCATACAGGACTGTCGGTGCATCATTCGCAGCCAACGGATCAACAATAGTGCCTACGGCTATGTCAGACCTGGAAACCGATTTTCTATTTCTGGTGGTTTACCATCTAACGCAAGATAATACGTGGAAAGCTTTACCAATCTTTGGCAAACCCAGGAGAATGAGGGTAATTGTTGAGGTACTTTGTGAGCGCTTCCTGCTGCGCTTATTTATTCATGGCACGGTTATTGTGTGTTGACCAACTAAGTTTTGACTGGAAATCCCTCTTTCCAATTGTCACTGGTGATTCTACACGCTAAGCAGCAACCGGCGAGATGTCAAGTCTGCGGTTCGCCTCTGTTCTAGAATCTGCGGCTTGAATAACTTTTGTTTTTGATGAGTGCGTAGCAAGTAACACTGAAGTGAAGCACCCATGGAGAGTATTAAGTGCCGCAGCCACAAGTAGGCTGCGTTGTCAGAAAATATCAATCCATTTTCGGAAAACAATTTTATAACGAGTGACTGCAAGCAAATTACAAAATCATCCAAAATGTGTTCCACAACTGTACCAGGAAGGTAAATGGAAGAAGAATTAGTAAAAGGCAACCTATCTGAAGGGACCAGAGTCCCGTTCGCTCAACCTGCGTGAAAGACACAAAACCTACCTTTGTTTCCCTAAGTGTGTTTACCCAGGGACATCCCATCACCAGGGACGGTCAAAGATGTGGTATCAAACATCGAAACCAGGCAAACTTAAGCGGACAATTGCCTCGTAAATATTCAGTGAGATATTTCGTGCAACGCTTAGCTTAGATGACTTGCCTTCGGGGACAGCCTCTACTGCACACTAGTCTCAGCAACAGTAGCTGGTGGTTGATTATCATTCAGTGGCAAAAGCCACCTACTGGACTCTACCAACAGAATCAGTGTCTCAACATGGAACTCGGAAGCAAAGGACTTATGGCGACATGGCTACAACCATGCGCGCATAAAAGACCACGGGCACTCCATGGGTTCTCCCAATTTGAGCTGATTACCATCGCGAAAATCAAGGTACGATTGTGTGCTTTGGGCCAACTCTCCACTTTTGCTATGGTTGCGACGAACCCTATCCCGGGAGTATGGCGTCAGCCGGCCAAAGCACTCTAAGTGAGATGGCACTGACACACCTTCCAGTTGTCCACGCACAAGTTGGACGCTTACAGGTTTTATGTACTTGGCTTCTAATTGCTCATTCGTGTTGGTAATAGCACGAACACCGGTGGCCGACGAGGAAGACTTAGTAGGTTTCTACTTAATGTACCCGTTGGTAGATTCGACGCGGTTAGTGGCTTCATTACCATGGGTTACAGCACGCTTGCGAGCGTGCTTCTCCCAGGTACTTAGGTAGGTTAACTAATGCTCACTGAGATACGACCAGTATTCTTGGTTCCGGTTTCTGATGCTGGTGGCATGAACCTCAAACTGGCTCACTTCCCTACAAAGTACCATTCTCTTAGACGAGGCAAACCAAACTTCTTTATCGGAAGAGTTTCCTCCCTAAGAATAATAATCCCCGTCTTGAAGGTCTGCAATACATGGGAAAA